TGCTTTATAAAGCGTTCCATGACACGTGGCGCCTCAAGATCTCCAAAAATCACTGGATCAAACAAATCAAACAGAAATATAACGAAGTATACACAAGTGAACCAACAGATTGAAAATTTGAAGTTCAAATCCACGCACATACTGCAGCCGCGCATAACATGTTCAACCCCAGTGCGCTGGAAGGGAAAGCGTCCGTATGCGAGCTTTGTGACTTTGAGTGATGTGATCGATACATGGTATTTGTATGCGATGAACATAAATTCCTGCTACACCTCTTGAGTTATGTTTCCAAATATCTTGATGCAAACGATTGTTGAACATACATTTCAACATTGCCACCTGATTGGGTTTCACTTATTATGATGCAATAATGCTTGAACTGATGCGGATTATTTCGCTTCGATCTCAAATAATTGTGAATGCACTTTTTGGAACTCTGGCAACTTCATAAGTTTGAGAAAATTGAACCTTGTGAGTTTGCCCAGACAGTTTCACATCGAATTTCATGCATAGACATGTTGAAGAATGTGACTGAAGTTGTGTTATATACGCAGCCGAGTTCAGATTCGAAAATTTGGAGACCCGCCCAAACCCACCCAAAAGCTGGATGATAATAGTCTTTCTTTCACACCACGTGGGAAATCTCAAGCATGGGGGGGCCGCAAGCACACAGGTGCGCCTCCTTACCTCATCCTTTCACTAAGGGCCCCAAAGTTGGTACCTGTGCGAGACCGCCGCCAAACGTTCGTGTGACAGCAAAGTACCGCCGTTCAAGAGTTGTTCCTGCACGCCGTGAGGGAATTTTGGAAGGAAATTTCGGACAATACAAATGTGGAAGGAATGATCAAATATTTGAGATGGAGAAAGAAAGCATTCATTTTGTAGAATATTCATTCCACCCACAGGCCCATGATTAGGCCCAAGATAAGGAAACCGGGGGACAAGTGCAAAGGACGGGCTACACTGATTTTCTGAAATTTGCCCTGTGGCCCAGCTTCACGAAGATGCGCAAAAATACATACCCTGCTTGGAGCCCAGCTGGCCTTGCTGCAAATGGCCTACATACAGCAGGCTTGGCCACAGATACCTCTCTTTCGCAATGTCCGCAGGCTCTTATAAAAATCCCACAGAGGCTGGAGTGAACAAGCTGCCTTCCCTGTTGCCTCTTCTTGCGCCTGGTAACCGCTTCAAGACCAGGCCTTCAGTCCGCTCTCAGATCACACTGGCAAAGCTCTTTCCGCCTGAGGCCGTCACGCCCCACCCCTCACATGCCAGATGGAGGGATTTCTGTGGGAGCCGCGACCTGATTTTGAGATTCTGCAGTCGCGAAAAAAAAGTGGCCGCGCGCACCTGCACAGCCCTTGTTTCGTGCTGCCCCAGCCTGCAAGAGACACTCCTCAAACCCTGGGATATCGGTTCTATGCCTTGCACCGCAACCCTCACGCGGAGGGGAATCCCGGGGCAAGGCCGCAGCCTCCCGCAGGGACTGGGTTGATCTGAGTCACCAAAGTGGAGGCGTTAAATGGGGGCGAAGCGGACAGAAGGAAAGTCTTGGAGCCCTCCAGCCTCCAAGCCCTATGAACGCCACGCTTAAAGCATCCCAAAAGAACAAGAGAGTTGCGTGCTTTGTTGCTTGTTGAGGTAGTTTTTGGACAGGAGCAGCGCAGCCACGCAGAACATCACGATCTCGTGCGACAACGCTTCAGCGGCGCTCTGCATTGATTTCAGAAAAGTCATGTTCAGATGCTGTCAATTGTATGTTTGATGCACCCTTTGAGTGGGAGGCTAAATAGTTTATAGAAAGAAATTCCAGAATCAGATTCCAAGGCCCTTATTTGGAATAATCCCTGACAAGGCCCTGAATTGAAATAGTCCTCAAAAAAACACGAACTTGCAATAGTTTCTTATAGGGTCCTAATTTGGAATAATCCTAATAAGGCTCTAGTTTGAAGTGGTCCTGAACAAGACCTTAATTTGGAATAGTCCCTATCAATGCCCTTGTTTGAAATAGTCTTCTATAGGGCCCTAACTTGGAAGAGTCCTAAATAAGGCCTTAATTTGGAATAATCTCTTGTAGGGCCTTACTTTGGAAAAGTCCTTAATGAGGCCCCAATTTGGGAGAGTTCCTTAATGAGAACTTGGAATAGTACTTGTTGAGGCTTAATTTGAAATAGTTCCGAATGCGTCTCTATTTAGAAATTGTCCATTATTAGACTAATCGAATTTTGTGCGCTGAAAATCAGATTTCAATTGCCCCCACTAGTGTTCGGGTTGTACGATAAACACCCCCCGCTAATAAATACGGTTCCGAATGTTTAAATTAGGGGTCCTTTCTTCTCTTTATGGTTGTTTGTTTCTGCTTTCTCTTTCTTGTCTTTCTTGTCAACCTTCTTTTGTTTATTGCCGTCTTTTTATTTTATTCCATACATTTGATTGCACAACTATATTGATCAATCACACTCATACATGATGTAAAGTAATTGGGAGAAAAGGACGTGACATTTGCACACACTCGGTCTATGCGCGACAAATGAACCTTGGAATAAAGCTCTATCTATCTGTTGCACAATTTTTTTTTATTCCATACGTTTGTTTGTACAAGCATATTAATCAATAGTCATAGATAGTGCTAGATGGGTCATCAGTTTGCACCAAAGGCTCCCCACCCCAAAAACGAGGTAAGACATTTTGAGCGAATGACATCCCGGCGTGAGTTCAAATTTAAAAACCGGGGGGCGCCCCATCTGCAAAGCATAGACGCATTTGGCTGGCAGCTGCGGAATCACTATTACACGTGACACGGATTCATGCGTACAAGAGCACCAGGGTTGGGAGGGAGAGGGGGAGCCCTCCATTGCAAACCGTGGGGAATGTGTCACTTGTGAATGAGGATTCACTATCACACAGTTCATGTTCTGGTCGGAAAATTTGAAACGTCATGGACCCGGCAAAAATAATGAAACATGATAAGATCAAAAACCTGGTGGAAATTTAGAAATATGATGAACATTGATGACACATGGCATAATTTGCCATTGGGGCACCTTGATGATGAAACTTGATAGAACATCATGAAAAGCATGACAATACTGAACTGGTGAAATTTGACGAAAGGCATTTTGTGATCAAATGTGAGAAATCAAAATTCATCAACACAATAAAATTGATGGAAACCATAAAAATTATGGAAAATGATGAAAATCATGACAAATCACGAAATGTTATGAAAATTACGAGATGGTGTTTGAAAGCATGGTTGGTTCTGCCATACTCATTTCTCTCAATCAAGTTATACAAATGAACAATTGCAAGGGCACATTTTTTTGCCATTGCAAGCGTTCCTACAATCCCAGGCGTGCAACGACTTTCGGTAGCTCTCTCCAACTCTCTTTAAGAATCTACCCAACTCTACAACGCAACTTCTGGAATCATCACTGAAACTTTGTAAACAAAACTACGGCCCGTATCATGTCAATCATATCCAGCATGAACGCGAAAATTACGCCCGTCCCCCACTCTGTGACCCCTCGTGGGTGTGGTACGTCGTTTGGAAAAGTGGGCACGCGGGCAGATGACCTTTACTTTTTCGCCGGTTTAGATTCATGTTTTGTTTTAGTGATCACTGATCTTATTTTTTGGATTGTTTTTTCGTTAATTCTTCATGTTGATTTGGGTGCATTTATTATCACGGCATTGCTGGATTCATTTTTGTGCGGGATTATTCAAACATGCTACGAGCGTACATGATATGAGTTGTTGTTGCAACCGAAACGCACAAAGCAAAAGGAACAACAACAGACGTGAACACCATTTTTCATCTGTGCACTCGAACATTAGCTAAGAACAACATTTTTCGTTGATTTTCTATCGTTTTTTTATGCATTCAAAACTTTGGGACAGGCACTGGCCGCACGGGTGGCGCGTGATTGTCCACACCTTTACAAACGTGATGATTCAAGCGAGGCGATTTGTCCGACATGTCATATGTATGACATATCATATCCTATCATGGCATAGCATAGCAAAGCATGGCAAAGCATAGCATAGCACTTCTACTGGCACAATCTGTCGCTGACATGTTGTGCGGGCATTCCGTGAATAGTTGGGCATCCACAAATTTCCAGCAATCGTGCAGTACGGGCTTGCCATTGCTAGCCATGCAGATTGTACTGCATGTTGGTTCAATATCCCAAAAAACATGATCGGTGTCACAATGACCGGACGTTCCTTTCGTCCAGGTGCTTCTATAAGCACACGATTGCAAATGTTGTCAAGTGTTGCAGGTTCTGTTGTGCGTGTTGTATAGGCATTTTATGTTGACTGCGTGTGAAGCTGTTTTTGTGATGGCCAGTTTCATTATTGTTTCATGTGTACATTGCAGTGTTGCAGGCGTGTTTTTTCGCGTGAATGAGATCTTAACCAAAATTTGTGTTGTGAACCAAGGCAGTTTCATCCACGGACTTTTTCGCAAGCTTTAAGACAAAGTAAGTTGTGCAGTCTTAAAGCAGCTCGCGCAATTCGGACGAGATTGTTGGATATGAGCCAAATCTGATGCCGCGGGACAATGCAGCATGTGTTCAATAGACCCTTTGCGAAGCTTGGTGCCCAGCTTTTTGGTGTGCGTGTGTGTGTGTGTGTGTGTGTGTGTGTGTGTGTGATGGTAATGCACCTGGAAGCCTCTTCGCATTGTCAGGTCTGGACAGCCAAGATATGGAGGACCAGGCAGGGCATGTATTTCATGCAGTTTGTCATGCAATAATGAACAACTGGAACAGCTGCAAAGTGTGAGGTTGCTGAATAGTATGAGTCCTGCAGCGACTTTCATGCTTCGAAACATCGCGGTATCGTTGCCAGTTAGTTTTGCCATCTCGCCACGTCGCGTGCAGCCAACATGTGATGATAAGAACAAGCACATTTGTTGCATTGTCCAACCATAGCCATAGTCTCAGCCCGAACCACATGTTCAGGAGGTTTTCCATCACACTTGACATGTTAGAGCCATGCCTGGAGCCAGCGCGGTTGGGTATGGCAGTGATGATGAGTCTGCTCCACCTGCCCTTCCCTATGGCTACGGGGCACTCCCTGGAGACAGTCCTCGTAGAAAGCGTACGGCAACAGAGATTCGGGAATATGGAATCCAACAGAATTCGTTTGGCAGGGTTCGCTCCCGGTCTAGCGCAGAGCTTCAACTGCGTCCAACTTTTGCAGAGACTCGAGCACGACCGAGCCTTCAATACCACAAGGCCTTGTTGGAGCTAGTGAAAAAGTCCAGAATCACCATGATGAAGTCGGATTATGACATTTTGAAAGAGAATCACAAGTTTTTGCGCACTGAAGATGCAGATGATGGTTCCTGGGAGTCCAGACTTGCACGCAGATACTACGATCGACTGTTCAAAGAGTACGTCATTTGTGACTTGTCTGGTTATCGAGAAGGCCGAGTGGGCTTTCGTTGGCGCACAGAAGGAGAGGTGTTGCAGGGTCGAGGGCAATTTACTTGCGGACACAAGCATTGCCATGCAAAAGACATGCTGAAGAGTTACGAAGTCGATTTCAAGTATGTTGAGGAGCGGCGGAAACGCGCGCTAGTGAAGGTTCGCCTTTGTCAGGATTGCGCCTTCAAGCTGCACTACCGACGCATCAAGAAAGCACGAAAGCGCCGGCGAAGGGAGGCACAAACAGGTGCAGAGGAGCCAGAAGGCGAAGCAGCGCCTGAGGAAGATAATCTAGTGCAAGCAAAGCAATATGAGCCTCTCATAGAGGCGGATGGAGCGGCCGCAGAGAGGGATCCTGATCCGGAAGCTCCGACAGCCTCTGACCTTCAGCTCCTGGAGTCGATGGCGTGGCGTGGCCCTGACCCAAATGTACGCAGCCGAGAGGACGACATTGACGATTTCCTTCGAGACTTGTTCCCATGACTTTTTGCGGAATGTCAGCCAAAGGCTGCACAGTCCACTTGGCCCTGCTTGTGATGTGGACACACTTGTCTTGAACGGCAAAGGCTTCGGGTCCGGTGCTGTACCAGGTGTGGGCACTACGTCTGGAGTGTGTTGGACCAAACAAGCCCGTCCCAACTTGAAGAAATGCCACATTTGTACAAACACACAGCTTTCGATGCCCTTAGCCATCCCCGGCCATGTAGCGAAAAAGGTGGAGTGTCATCGCCGAGGGTGGTTCTCAGGATCAGCGCTGCTTCTCCTCTCTGCGCGTCTGTGGGATTGCCAGCCTTGTTTTTTGAATCATGCTTCCACTATTGGAGTACGATTCTCATGGCAGTTTCTCAAATCAACCCCCTGAGTCGGGCCTGTTAGCATTGACCTGTAATTTTCAGGATACCTAAGTAAGGGTATTCCAGTTCGGAAAAGCTAAAACCATTCGTATATAGAAATGCCTAACGGTTTCCCTAAACCCCATACCCCAATATTGTAATTTTCACACATGGGGGGACCCCAATGTAGACCCCAGTATATTACAACTATAATCCTTGATTTTAGGACTCCAAAAAAGGTACCCCAGATTTTCGGAAAACCTGAACCTATAATTCCCTTTACATTCCTCATCCTATATGTGCCCTATAGCCCCCTTTTACACTGAATTGTGGGACATCTCTGAAATCGCCTTTTTGCAGAGCTTCGAGGCAGCAATAAGCCGCTCGGGCGTGCGCGAGCCTTGGGATAAGGGTCTAAGGGAATAAGGACATCGTACTCATGTACTGAATACTGTTGTATTTGTTCCTGCTAGTTTTGTTATTGTTATTAATTGTAACCCTTCTTCATTGTTATTGTCATCTGTATGACTACTAACATGGTTATCATTGCTATCAATCGAAGCCTTACTGGTACTTTTACCGTATGAATATTCATTCTTTTATCATGCAGGTCCAGGGTTTGTGACTGGACAGAGTGGTTACTTGCCGCACGATCCTTGCCATCTTGAACCGTGTTGGGATTGCGGTAATTGCAGTAAATGTTTGCTTCCTACATCCACTGGGGCTACTTACGGGGTTGGAGACTGTGCTCCCGGTGATTCGGGATTTTACCCTGACTAAGGCTAGGAGAGAGATTGTGGGCGCTGATCAGGGCCCTCAACAGCACAAACATGAGCTCCAAGCAAAAAATTGGTTACGTGATGAGTGAAGTGGGGCTTTCAGGTTCCTGAACGGTAGGCGAAAAGTGAATCGGCCAAGGTGCGACCGCCGGCAGGGTCTCAGGAGTCGGACTCAGCTGTCCAGCCCAAGTCGGCGGTTGTGAACACTAGGGTTTGCCCGTTAGTGAGGGCATAGGGTACCTGCAGGGGACTGTCTAGGAATGTATGGTCAAGGAATTGCTCCTGCTTCCGTGTTTTTGAATAAAACATCCGAGCCTCCCAGAAGGAATCCAAAGTTTGGACAAGCAAGTGGCCATTTTTGAAACGAGTGGTCTCAGAGATGCTTCCAGACATGAAGGCTAACCCCAAGTAGCAGAGGTTTTCCGTTTGGGTTGTTGTGATCCCTGGACGCACCCCCAAAGCAAAGGATCCCAGACTTCATGGTCAAAGCCAAGGTCCAACACACATCTAGTCCTATCAGGCTGAATAGCCAAGATTGACAAATGTTGGACGGATTGCAAAATGTTCGCTCGACCATCTGTGTGACAAATCAGTTTATGTTGTCAGCTTCTATCTTTACCCGTGGGTGATGGTGCACAGACTGCTGCAGTTGACGCTTGCATTTCCTGCAACATGCGCTGATGCTAAGATGCTTTCACCGCGAAAGGCAGGGCTGCAGGGCTTGTTCAAGAGCAATGCATGTCAGAGCTTTCCAGATAATCAGTAGCCTGCAAGTCTTGTCTGGGCCATGCTGGCTGAGCTTCAGGAGGGGGATGAAAAGGACGAGGCGGAGGAGGAGGTTTCAACATCTTTGCCGCCAATGCCCGAGGCCAAAGGGGAGACTGAATGCCTGTTTGCAAGCTTGCTCTCAGACAAGAGGATTCGTGTTGGGGTTTGGGGTGGTGGGGTATAGGGCCTGATTGGATTTGGTCTACACCCGACTTTGTTCTGGAGGTGGTCCCAGCTGCTGCGTTGGGAGCTTGGAAAAGCTGGCGCTGGTTTGTTGAAGTCAGGCCAGTTCGTTGGGGGTATGTGTGTGTGTGCGTGTGTAAGACGAAGATGCAAGTGGGTTGGAGGTGCTGTAAGGATTGGGCTTTGAGTCATGCCGAACGGTGGTAATAGTCGGAGGCAGCACTCGTGCTTCGTGGTACTGCAAGTATCTGTTTCTAGCATAGCTGCGGCTGCTCAGGTTGACAGGCCCACTGACGGTCGCATTGCACTGCACTAGGATAAAACACAGCTTCTCTATCCTCTGTACGCGCGCTAGCTGCAAAGTCTCTTGCACTGGCAGAAGCTAATGCCATGATTCCATCTAGGTATTCTCATTTGCCATGTGTGTTTTCCTCGCCTCATAACCCACAAGACCGAGGCTTAACCCAGCGCCCGTGGCACGCCAGGGTGGCTTCAATGCTCAGCATGTGGGGCAGGCTAGGGCCTCATGTCGTTCTTATAGGGTCTGAGGAGAAATCTCTACAGGGGCTCTGAAGGGTTACATGTTTTCAGTACATTTCAGAGGGCTTGCAGGAATTCTGTACATTGTTTGGAAGTGTAGACCTGCATGATTCCAACAAGTCCTCAGGCTGCCGGCATATGTAGGGCTTAGGGTTGAGGTAACCAATTGCTTTCTCACTCTGCAGGTTTGTGAAGTAGGACAATGTGGCTAACCCTGAATTATGTGATGCCACCGTACTTCCTCTAGGCCACTTGGAACGCTATGTCGATCAAATCTCAAACAGGGACGGCAGTGACAGCAGTATTTTTTAGGGGCCTGTTGGGGGTTCATGGTAGTTTGGGGGAGGGTGATTTCCATAATCCAGAACTCACTGCAATTCTTAGTCTATCTTTTGTTGATGTTTTTTCGATCTTTTTGTTTGAGATTCCGCATTTCAATATTCGGAGACTCGAAGCTTCTCGGGCTTCTTTCCCATGCCTCATCTCGTGGTTGTGATGCTGAGGAGGCTGCTTTGTTCATTCAAGGTATGGTCACCTTGCCTTTGCGATGACCAGCCGGATTGTTTTGACACTTGAGGCTAGTAGAAAGCAGCTTGACTGCAGTGCCTGAGACTCAGGCCCTTGCACAGGCATTGGCCCAGAAGAACATGGAGAAGGCAACGAAGCTGCGACGTGGAATGTGGTAGCACGAGGAAAGATTGTTGGTAGTAATCCATCACAAGCGGATAGATGTGAACAGAGCCATCTCTTGCAGACCATGGTGATTGACACAACTGTACATGTGAGCAAAAGTCGGCAAATGGGAATGGCCAATATGTGGCAACAGGAGTCGCCACGTCAACGATGGTTAGGGTTTATGCCCGTGCTGGCAGCACCTGTGCAAGGCTCTGGACTCTTAAGGCTTTTTGCTGCTTGAAAGGTTACTTCCACCCTTCAGAGGGCTTTTCCAAACACTACACAGGAGATAAGCCTTGAGAACCGCCATGTCCCAGAGCCTTGAATCAAAACGTTAAAAGCTTAGCGAACTCCAAACTCTACACACTAAACCGATTACCTGTAGGAACGACAGAAGAAGGGCCTGGGTGCCGTCGGCACCATGCCCCTCGGGCCTCCTCCGACATTCAGCTGAAAATACTTTCCAATCTGAAGTGGAAGGTTTAATCCAGTCTGGCGGGGGGTTGTGGGGCTACGGTGTTGGGATCAAAATGTAAGCTCGTGACAGGAACCCAAAGCTAGGTCAGATTTAGAAATTCCTTTCAGGTTCTGCAGGCTTCCTGTAGGGCTGGCCATTGGACGAATTACAGGAAAGGAGGTTGACAGAGTATAAGGTCTCATGTGCAAGAAGTATTGCGCTCGAATCAGAGTTTAAGCCCGTTCCAATGCCAGAAGCAGTAAACGGCATGTTCATGGCATCCTAGTAAGAAAAGTAGTGCCTGCAGTCCTAGCGGGACCATGGCAGAAAGCCATGTCAGCCCTCTATCCTGATTACTAGATCCCACCGGCAGCATTTCAAACCCAAACAAGGGCAATCTAGCGTGCCCAGCAGGATCATTGATGTATGTATCTAAATGGCATGATTGCGACGCCTAGCGAATAACCCCCAACGTGCTTGGGTGACCTTCACAGCAGGGAATCTGCTTTCTGCTTGTCCAAGGAAGGACGAACCATCTAAGACCAGTCCGGGGGCACAGAGGCCGCCCTTCAAACCTGGGTCCGGGGCTAAGCTTCCAGCTTGACGTGACACTTTGAACCAGAAGCAAACAGCTGAACGGTGTTGTTGGGGACTTGCTACATGCAATGTTTCATGCAGATACCTCATCAGTAGCCATGAGCAAAATGGCAAGAACTGCAAGAGTCTTGCTGCAAGAGCGTGGCTCTATGGCAGTATTTGCGATCTGCAGTGCCAACATGCCAGTGTTTGCTGTTTAGTTCATCGACCTTGAGTATGTGACCCTTACAAGTTCTTATCCGAACTAGAACTTGGAAGGTCAGCACGAGACGCGGGCGAACTCTCATAATCCAAACCTTCGACGCAAGTAGTGGGCGGCTGTATCTTTGGCTGGCTAGTCTCATGTCCATACCTGTGGGCTTTGTGAGCTACTTCATGGAATTCTGTAGTATAGGAACGCCCATAGCCGCCCTGACAATCCCGATATATCCCTTGCTCAGGAAAGTACCTTGAAAGCCTAAACCCTGCTATTTGCTAAGGAAGGCACCCGTTGTGGTACCCCCTCGGGTCATCCATGGGCCTCTCCCGGGCAAGCTGCCTGAGATTGTCTCGCCGAAGGCTTTGGGCAGGATCGAAAGTCTTATACAGGGTCTATACAGCGATAAAGGGGGCATCACCCCAATCATGGAGAACCAGACAAAAAAATAAATA